AGCAAATGTAGATTCTTCATGGGTATCGTATAGAGAATTTCTAGATTACCATAGTAATAAGTTTGTACTAATAAAACACAAGGGAAGCGAAATAGCTTAGGACATCATTTCTTCAGTCATATATATCAAAGACTGGAATATATTACAGGTCTCATGAACAGCAGCTCATCTCATTAAGGAGATGATTACAAGTTCTAGTGAAGTGAGGAAGTGTCTGTGTGCGGGCCTAAGGTATTAATTTTCTCCTAAAGAAAATGGTATGATTGAATTGATATTTTATTGTCCAGTGTGGGGAATCCCCATTGGGCATATTTTCAGGCCATTCCCTACTCTGAATAAATTGGTCTTAACTACAAATCATATGTTACACACAGTCTTATTCCTATACTAATCCGGGTTATAATCCATGTAACTAGGTTACCAAGTTATATTCACACCTCTCTCTCTCTCTTTCTCCACCTCCTTCTCTCTCACACACACACTCACACCGATTCAGGCTTACGATTTTTTTTTTTTTTTGTCTTTTCTTCTGGTACCAGAAATCGAACTCATGACCTTGCGCTTGCCAGGCAAGCACTTTGTCACTGAGCTAAATCCACAGCCCCCAGGCTTACAATTTTTAAATGAGGTCTTTTCATTCAAAGGCATCTCATTTCTTGTACTACTCCTTTCTATAATCTTAAAATGGCAAATTTTAAAAATTATTTTAAAAATAAGGATTGAGATACCAATGTCAGGCACAGGAGACCAAAAAGAATCAAACCTAGCTTCTTATATAAATGCAACAGAACATACACACTCAAATAATATAAGATCATTAAAGTAGAAGTACAGATAAGCATCAGATTCACAAACAGATAGGACGTAAAGAGGATTTTGGATTTGACAATTTTAGAAAAAGTAATTCTATTAACATAAATTTGTATTTACATTAAAAAACAATTTTAAAATTTCAAAACTGTAATTGCATTAAAATAAATTTCAATTTACAACAAAAAAATCTTTGTAGTTGCCTTGTGGTGACTTTTATTCACCTAGACTTTTGTGTTTTTAAATTTTTTTAAGATTCAGACCTAGGATTTTATGTAAACTCAATATAGTTTATCAATATCTCTCATAGAAAAAGAGTACTATAATCCTTATATGTGAATTGATTACTGAAGGTCAAAAATTCATTTATAATATACATTATACACAGTAATTTATGCAATTAGTCTTCTAATCTGCGAGTCCTACATCCAAGTAATTTGCATCCACAAACTCAAGTAATCACAGATCAAATATAGTTAGAAAAACATTGTCTATACTGAACATGTATGGGCTTTTTTTCTTGTGATTACTTCCCATGCAATAGTGTTTACAAATATTTACATGGCACTTACCTTGTATTAGGTATTAAAAGTATTTTAGAGACGATTTAAAGTACTCCTGAGACTGTATGTACATTATACGTAAATATTATAGGGTATTACATAAAGCACTGAGAAGCCATAGATTTGACATTCTATGGGCAGAGGAAGAGGGTATGAAATCAACCACTCAAATACTAAGGGACCATATCTAAGATTATATCACTAAATTTCAGTACTCTGAATTTTACTTTAAAGGCTTAAAGACGTAAGTATTATTTTAGTGGATAACTTCTTCACTGGGTGGTATTTTCATTGCTTATCCATAGGTATGTTCCTTGCCGAGCTGATAGAGAAGTACTTTGTGTCCCCTACCCTGTTCCGAGTGATCCGTCTTGCCAGGATTGGCAGAATCCTTCGTCTGATCAAAGGAGCAAAGGGGATCCGCACCCTGCTCTTTGCTTTGATGATGTCCCTTCCCGCCTTGTTTAACATCGGCCTCCTGCTCTTCCTGGTCATGTTCATCTATGCCATCTTTGGAATGTCCAACTTTGCCTATGTTAAGAGGGAAGTTGGCATTGATGACATGTTCAATTTTGAGACCTTTGGCAATAGCATGATCTGCCTGTTCCAAATCACCACCTCTGCTGGCTGGGATGGTCTGTTAGCACCTATTCTCAATAGTGGACCTCCAGACTGCGACCCTAATAAAGTTAACCCTGGAAGCTCAGTGAAGGGTGACTGTGGGAACCCATCTGTTGGGATTTTCTTTTTTGTCAGTTACATCATCATTTCCTTTCTGGTGGTGGTGAACATGTACATCGCTGTCATCCTTGAGAACTTCAGCGTTGCCACGGAAGAAAGTGCAGAGCCCCTGAGCGAGGATGACTTTGAGATGTTCTACGAGGTTTGGGAGAAGTTTGACCCTGATGCAACTCAGTTCATGGAATTTGAAAAACTGTCTCAGTTTGCAGCTGCTCTTGAACCTCCTCTCAATTTGCCACAACCAAACAAACTCCAGCTCATTGCCATGGATTTGCCTATGGTGAGTGGTGACCGGATCCACTGTCTGGACATCTTATTTGCTTTTACAAAGCGGGTTCTAGGAGAGAGTGGAGAGATGGATGCTCTCCGAATACAGATGGAAGAAAGGTTTATGGCTTCCAATCCCTCCAAGGTCTCCTATCAGCCAATCACTACTACATTAAAAAGAAAACAAGAGGAAGTATCTGCTGTTATCATTCAGCGAGCTTATAGGCGTCACCTTCTGAAGCGAACTGTCAAACAAGCTTCATTTACATATAATAAAAACAAACTGAAAGGTGGAGCCAACCTTCTTGTAAAAGAAGACATGATAATTGACAGAATAAATGAAAACTCTATTACGGAGAAAACTGATCTGACCATGTCCACTGCAGCTTGCCCACCCTCCTATGACCGGGTGACAAAGCCGATTGTGGAGAAACATGAGCAAGAAGGAAAAGATGAAAAAGCCAAAGGAAAATAAACAAAAACAAATAAAAATAATTGGGTGACAAATTGTTTACAGCCTGTGAAGGTGATGTATTTTTGTCAACAGAACTCCTTTAGGAGGTCAATGCCAAACTGACTGTTTTTACCTACATCTACTTAAGGTCAGTGCCTACACAAGACAGTGATCCCCTTGTTGGCAAACTGTGTGTGACTCTGTGTAAAGGAGAGACGACCTTAACAGGAGGTTACTGTTCCCACTACCAGCTGACACTGCTGAAGACAAGAGACGAAATGGCTACTTGGACTGTAGGGACCAGTTGAAAGGGGTGCAAACCTGTAATTTGGGGGTTGTTTAACATGAAACACTTTAGTGTAGTAATTGTATCCACTGTTTGCATTTCAACTGCCACCTTTGTCACATTTTTACAAACTCTGTTAGTGGATTCATCTTTTTTTTAATCCATATGTTGTTTGTTATATGTGACTATTTTTGTAAACAGTGTTTCTGTCTGGAAATAGACTAAAGGACCTCGTTTATAGGTATGTATGTCACCTGTGGGTTACAGCAACCACATGGCCCTCCCGTCTGCACAAAGTTGTGGTTTGCATGAGGGCATGCAGCACTTAGAGACTGTGCATGAGAAAATGTCACCAGGAAATCAGCAACAGTTCTTAAATAGCTCTTAAATCTTATTTGTGTTTCTGGGAGGGGTAATCGGGTGATAGCTGGACCATATGTTTTGTCAAGTAGTTTGTTTTGAGGTAGATCATTAAGTCTTAGGATAGGTGCAAATTTCACTCAAATGTCTGGAATCATAAATGTTGTATTTCTTTTTATTGCATTAAAACAATCTCTAAACAATGAAATTTGCTCCCTACCCCTGACCTCCAGAAGACTGAATTGACCAAAAGAACCCTTTATAAATTCTGCTTACTCCTGCACTTTGTTTAGCCATCTTCAGCTCTCAGCAAGGTTGACACTGTATATGTTAATGAAATGCTATTTATTATGTAAATAGTCATTTTACCCTGTGGTGCACGTTTGAGCAAACAAATAATGACTTAAGCACAGTATTTATTGCATCAAATATGTACCACAAGAAACGTAGAGTGCAAGCTTTATACAGGTAATGTAATGTATTCTGTGCCATTATAGATAGCTTGGATGCTACCAATGCATGTTTATATTACCATGCCACTGTATCTGGTTTCTCCCACTGCTCAAAATCTCATTTATGAGAAGCCATATGTCAATGGTAAAGTCAAGGAAATTGTTCAACAGATCTCATTTCTTTAAGTCATTAAAGCAATAGTTTGCAGCACTTTAACAACTTTTTGATTATTTTTAAATTTTAAGTGGATAATATATGGTGTATAGCCAGACTGTACAGACATCTTTTAAAAACAAATGCTTAACCTGTTAAAAATGTGTTTAGAATTTTATAAGCAAATATAAATACTGTAAAAAAATCACTTTATTTTATTTTTCAGCTTTATGTACATAAATATGAAGTGGAAATTATCTTCAGGTTGATATCACAATCACTTTTCTTACTTTCTGTCCATAGTACTTTTTCATGGAAGATATTTGCTAAATAAGAAATGAAAATAAGACTGGGTAATTGTAGACTTCTGCTTTTTTATTATATTTGCTAATTTTAAATTGTTTCACAATTTTAAAGGGCAAAATAAGCTCACAACAAACATCCAAATTATGCTTTGCAACTGGAAAAATAAAATTTTATTTATGTTTCTGGCAGCGCTTGCAATAACTGATGGAAAATAGTGCTTACTTTTCACTTTTGTCTCTTTTTTTCCCTAATTTCTGTTTATGTTTTCATTTCTTTGGAGTTGTGCTGTCTAGATTGTCCTAAATATAATGTGGGCTTCACATTTTTTCCACAAAAACAGACAGTAGCGAACTTATATAGTGAATTACATCAGGACATTTTCTGTTTCTTATAGAAGCAAACCCTAGGCTCCTCTTTTTCTTAAAAATACTTAGATAAATTGTATTTGTGAACTGCATGCTGAAAAATGCTACTATTACCCTAAATGATGCTAACCAACATTAAAAATGTGCAAAACCAATAAAGATTACATTTTTTATTTTATTGCTTGCCCAGGTGCTTTTTGATAGCAGTGTTTTATAACAAGATGTGTTTTATAACAAGATACTATTTTGTTCAAAATTTGGAGGAGACGATTAAACACACACCTACACCCCCCCACCCCCACCCCACCCCCCCAAACACACACACACATTTCCTGGGTGGACAAGAAAACCTTGAGTAGAGATGGGATGGGGAGAAGGAATGCTTCAGGGATCACCGGCTGCACAGTGTGATCTCAGGACAAAGAGCTGATGTGAAACATAAGATGGTGTCTCTTGAAGAGCAAGAAGCATGAAAAGCAGCGCAGTGGAGAATGGTTGCTTGAGCTTTGCAAAGAAGTCTCTAAATCTTCCTTTAAAAATTCAGTGTTGCCATGGTTGAGTGGCGTTCTCCGCTCCGCTAGAAACTCTCTCCATTCTTCTCCATCCTGCTGTATTCAAGAAAGATGACTTTCACGCACTACATCAGTGGGCTTGCCCTACCCTATATATCCCGTTTAGCTTGGCTAATGAGAAGCTCCTGCAGGAAAACATTCATGGGAAAAGAATGAGGAAGGAGCATGTATTCTCTTGTTCCTTTATCGCTGGGTCGCCGTGGGTTAGCAGCGGCCAAGTTCCTCCACCCAAAATCGTACTTTTGGTTAGGCTACGTCCCTACAATTACAGCTACTTCCTTTGGAGTCTGAGAAATCACTCTTTTTCTTGCTCCTTTATGCGTATTGTTGGCCTATTTCCCTATTGTTTTTAGCTCCCAGAACCTTACAGACACATTTGTAACAAGCCTCTATATGAAAACGTTTCTCTATGCCTCATTTTCATACGCCATCTGTCCCACGTTAGAAAGAGGCTTGCCTTGGGTCAGTTTGGATGTTTAATGTAACTGGCTTTTGCAGATAAAGAAAGAACTAGAGGAAATAAAAAGAGGATGGGAGCAGAATTCATAGAGACATAAGAGGGTTACTAGAGTGGCCTCTGTTGTACAATTAACAGTCTCAATAGATCTATCTAAATTTATAAGGAAAGAGAATCTTTCATTTGTTTTTAGGGTTGCTCTATCTCAGTCATGAAGCTTGACGATGGGAGGAATGACCTTGACCAGAAAAAAGAAAGTCAATTACAAAGATTTTCCCATCCATGCAAATTATTTACCTTGTCTGTTTGTAGCACCAACCCCATAAAACAATGGAACAACTAATTCTGATTTATTAGTGCCTGAAAATAATTTCCCACTTCCAACCAAAGTAAACAGAAACTACAGAATTAACTGTACAGATATTTTTCAATACCATCCATCTATGCCAGTACTTCCCGGTGCCTTTCCAAATACAAAGGAAAGAACTTGTTAAATATATCATACAAATTTCTGTATTTATTTTGGCATTATTTTTCATAGTACTTGCTGGGCCAAAAAGTACTTAATGCTTAAGGAATCACGAGACTAGGTCGGTAGTACTCAGAAACTAACTAGAATCTTCCCATCAGCCAAATCTGGGGGATTTGAGCAACAATATAAATAATGATAATAATAGGTCATAATTCACTGAACAAAAGAAGACTCCCACAAGTGTATAATAATATGAATACAGAAGATAGAGGAAAGGGAAGTCTCTTCTATACAAAAGAAGGTTAACTAACAATACAGAATCGAGTGGAATTGGAAAATCACCATTTGACCACCATCCTATTGGTCTGCACAAGAATCACCAATGAATGCTGAAACTCATGGGGGGAAGTATGAGGAGGGACAGGAAACGTAGGTTGTTTCAAAGTATTTCATTTTTATTATATGAAAATTTTAAAATAAGGAAATTTACAGTGGAGAAACTTAACAGGCATACCATTCAAAGTATTAATTATGGGACTAAATGATACTATTTGCTTCCTTATAAGATGTATTTAAAATGTTTATTTAAATTTTTGGTATCCAGTCAGAAATTTACAACCAGAATCTAACCACAGAAAAACCAAATCAAGGACAGTCTATAAAATAACTAAATTGAACTCTTACAATGTCAGCATTATGAAAAACAAAGAGAGACCAAGGGCCTGCTTGTGGTTGAACAGCTTTGACAACTACATATAACATGATTTTGGATGAGATACAGGACTGAAAATGTAATAATGATAAATAATGTTGGAAAAGCTGATTGAATGTGAATATCAACTGCTGATTGCTAGTTTTTTGTTGTTGTTTTGAAGTTTTTTATTTTTAGGGGATACTGCGGATTGAACCCAGGACTTTTCCTCTGAACTATATCCCCAGCCCTTTTTTATTTTCATTTTCAGATAGGGTCTCACTAAGATGCTAAATTGCTCAGGCTGGTTTCAAACTTGCAATCTTCCTGCTCAGCTTCCCAGAGTGCTGGAATTAAAGATGTGTTTTACCATAACAAGCTAGTTAGTAGTATTTTACTAGTGTCAATTTCCCTAATTTTGTTATGGCTAGGATGGCTATTAGGAAAAAAAAAAAATAGAAAATGTTCTTGTCCTCAGAAAATTCATGATAAGCTATGTAGAGGTAAAAGTGATGATGGTCATAGCTCACTATTCTACAGATTCAAAGGAAATTGAGTCACATGTGTACATGTGTCTATATGGATAAAGACAGATGCAAGTATAGATACAGGTAAAATTATAGATATGTGTGTCTCTGGAAAGGAGGGGATTTTGCTCTTGTGTTGTTGAAGTACCTCTATATCTACATGTGTGTGTTTACACAATCATCTGTTTCTTATATTCTGGGCATTCTGATTTTTACTCTCAATACTAGATCTGCTACCTCTAGGTACTCCAAGTCACATGGATTTGAACTATTCTCATTTCCTGGAAATCATTTTTCTCAACAGTCCTTTAAATTATTACATTTCTTGCTCTTCATGGGAAGCCCTATATGCTAAAAATAATTCTATTTTAGGAGAGATGTGTAAAGAGTGGTTAAAACTAAATGTTTGAGCTTATCTGTTAATGTTTTCCTTCTTTAATCTGAAAAAAAAAGACTAATTGTTTGAAAATGAGCTGATCAAAATTGGAGATTTGCGTCAGCACTCTGGTGATTATGTTCAAACAATAGTAGGTGTTTTTTATTATTATTTTTTTGACTGACTAAGCTGGAGTCCAGTCATTGTAGGTTTGAATAATTAATGAACACAGTTCAGTAGAACAGTGCTCCCTGAAAATGTTTTCATACATCTGCAGGTAATCTAGGAAATTAAGAATAATGTTTTAAATATTATAAAGCTGAATATATTCAGCATAAAGTCCTTTGTTTGAAAATTGTGTCTTTTATTTTGTAAAGATTTACATCATTTAATGTTAAAATGTTTTTTTAAAATCATATGAAAATAAATGATTTTAGGTTGTTTTAATATTTTATTTGGCCAAAGGAAAAATTGTTGGTCCTTCCGTTTGTATTTTAATGGTATATACAATCCAAAAGTTTAGGAAATGTTTGGATAGACACTCCAACTCCATAAGTTTATATGTTTATAGGTATGTATCACAAAGTTCAGACATTAGAATCATAAAACCTTTATATTAAAGGCAGAAATTATTCTGTAATTGTATATTCTATCATGTGTGCACTGAGATTCAGATTATTGTATAAGTAAATAAATGTATTTCTAAATCCCTTTGAATTTAGTAAAATATTCATAACAAAAAATTGCTCCAGTAAGGTCTAGCTAATAGGATTTTTCTTCCTGGAGCGTTGTCATCAATTAATATTGATTTAATCAGTGTGGCAGCAAAGGGGATGAAAGGATTCCAGGCCCTGAGGTACAACTGGGAAAGTTAGAGCACTGAGAAATTATGAAAAAATCACAAGGGGGTGATCTGCAATAAGAACTGACTATTCAGTATCTCTCAGCTTCCTTTGCATTCCTCATACTTCAGAACTCTGTCTCATTCTCATGAAACAAAAGACACTACCTTCCTTGTCTTCTTTACTGTATAATAAATAATATCTAAGTCCTCTTTCCCTTACCTTCACATCTTTTGTTTTTCCCTCCACTCTTCCAGTCTTCTCTTAGTTTTACTTACCCTCAGTTCATTTGCCATGTCCTCATCCTTGTTCTAGCCATTTTTCCTTTCTCCTCCCTCCCTCCTTCCTTCCCTCCCTCCTTCCTTCCCTCCCTCCTTTCCTCCTTCCCTTCCTCCCACCCTCCTTCCCTTCCTTCCACATTTTCAGAAATCAAGTTTGCTGAATAATTTATAAATTCTCTATACCCTGCTTCATTTCCCCTGCTTTTGTGTCTTCACCCTTCCCCTTGACTGATCATGTTATCTATCATTGCACTTTCAAGAAAATTCACACCTTGAAAAGAACTTCACTCAACTCTGCTGCATCTTTGTCCATCTCTCATTATCCTATCATCTTTAAAGATTACCTTGGAAAACCAAGCCTTAAAAAAAAACAGTGCTGACCCCTTCACTTTGGCATATAATTAGAAGAAATATAGAGCTCAGTAATATTTATAAGGAAATTTAGCTGTGGATATTCCTGTTGACATAAGCACTCTGAATTTTCAAAACACTGTGCTAGCCATTATCCTTTTCAATAAAATTATAAAGAAAGACCTAGAAAATATAAAAGGTAGGCACAGGGACAAAGAACACTAACTATATGGAGCAAAGATGTAGATACTCAACGTCTAAGTATTATGAGTTACATTCCTCTATTCAGTGTTTTAGAAGGGCATGATGTTCCCAGAAAAATTCAGTTGTTAACCATGTTTTTCTGCTTTGTATTCTCTGCCAGGAGTGTATCCTTCACTATTTGTGAGGACACAAAGGCCAGAAAGTTCTTAAAATGAATTTATAGGAAATTATATTTTTAGAATAAATTCTTCATAAAATATTGCTGTGGGTGTCATTTTCCCACTGAAGCATCAATGAACTCATCACCCTTGTGTTAGGCTTGCTGCTATGCATGTATTTGTCTTAACACATTAAAATCCAGTTCTTGTGTGTATTCTTGAAGAGCTTCGAAATGAATTGTGCGTTTCTCAGATTCAAAAACTAAATCTGAATCTTTCAAAGTACCTTTGCTGTCTTTTTAAGGTGTTCAGTCTGGTTTCTATTGTTCCAACCAAATTTAATGATCTTTATTTAGTCTTGGCCATATTTATAGATTTTAGAATTTGATGGTGATAATCATTACCACCTGCTTCTTTAAATTGCATCATTTTGGCTTCCATAAAACTAGGCCTCTTCCCACATCTTTTATGGTTTGCTTTCCCTTTTATTATTTTCCCTCCCTATTTGGATTTATACTGCCTTATCATGTTTTTGGTTGAACTGGTGCTGCACTTTCAACTATAAAGTTGGTCTTTTAAAATGGCATATTCAGCTGTTATGCTCACTTTAATATATCCTAAACTGATCTCCATTTTTTTTTCTTTTGGTACTGGGAATTGAACTCAGGACCTTGTGCTTGCCAAGCAGGCACTGTGCCACTGAGCTATATATCCAGCCTGATCTCCATATTCTATCCCCCTCCATCACTAACACAATTAACCAGAAGTCAATCAGGTTTCCCAGTATCTCTTATTATCCAACTCATTCTTCTCATTCAGCAAAAGAATTAAATATAAGCTCCACAATATATTGAAAAATAGACAAATAACTCCATATGAGAATACAGTGAGTATTATGACTATAACTTCTGATCTAGGTTTTAAAGAATAAGGGGCAGTGTGGCCCAAACAGCAAAAATATCAGGGAATAATGGTCAAAAGTATGGGATCTGGAGTTAAATTACCTAGATTCAAAGAACAGCTGTACTGATACTACTTACTAGCTGAATGTCCTTGAAAAGTACCTTCACCTTTCTGTGCCTTTATTTTATCATCTGTGAAATGGTAATAGTAATTTTATGAAGACTAAATGAGCTTTTTATAGAAGTACTGCCTTCAGATCAATAGTTCCAGGCATATTATATTGCCACATGTTTATTTTCATAATGAGAACCAAAGACACATAAAATGGGAAGCAGGCTGGCACATTTAGAGAATTTGCAAGAGTTAAATATTTGCTAAGGTGAAAATTGAACATTGTCAATGATAGACAGTGGGAGACACATAAGAAAAGGTCTTAAATGCGTGGTGGGGGTCAGATAACAAAGGCTTATTTAGAAGTGTGTAAAAGCAATGAGCATATATGCAGTGTTAGCAGTTTTTAACTTCAAGGCTAAGAAAATAGAAAGAAACACAATTTAAGAAGGTACTAGGCAAAAACATGCAAGAAATACTAGGACATATATCTGAATACCTTCTTCTTTGCTTTCTCTATCCAGCTAAAACCAAGCCTATACTTCAGGATTCATGACAGCTTTCTTCCTTCTTCTTTCTTATTTTCTCTTCTGTGATTTTCTGAGAGGTTTTATGTACATATAAAACCAACACACTTGAGAAAGGAAAAAGAAGATATTAATAACAATGCTGAAACAAAGACATAAGCCAGGCCTCTCTTAAGTACACCAGGACATAAGTTTACTCTATACCTGCCACTGTCAGGCACTTCATCTGCATTTGTGAGTAACGTTCCACTTCACCCCAAGAACACATAAACCACATGGTGCCAGGTAGGCAGAGATAATTCTCTTAGTGTTTTGCATACACAAAGTGGTCAGTAGCTATTTAGCAAATATGCAAAATAGTTCATTTTTATCACTATTCTAAATGGTTCTTTTTAAAAAGTCATTTATCCCTCTGAGATCTTTATTCTTATATACTATATAAGAGTATATGTCAATATATGCACCATTGTGAAACAATAAAACATCTCAAATGTTTCAAAGGAAAACTGACCTTGGTATATTTTAGTCATTTTGAATTTATATGACAAAATTTAAATGAACATATAGTATATGAATAAGATCATATATACTATGTATTATCAATAAAGAAATGATGCATGGATGCAAGTGTGGGTATAATTTAGGTATGTATACTTAGAAATTATTTCAAGACATGAATGCTTAAATTGATTTTTAACTCTTTAGAAATTTAGAGTTATATAATTCTCACCTCATTCTCCACCACAGTGGAATTATTGAGCTTGCCATTTTAAATTTATTCTTCTAAATGGAAGTACAGCTTCTGGATCTTCTTTTCTCTTCAGCATTACTTGGCTTCATTCGCATCTGCATTATTGATGTTTGTCTCTCCTCAAGGCTGGTGAAGAAATGTCTTGTTCAGCAGTATTTCTTGCAGTGGCAGAAAACAAAAATTTCTGAAGACAAACAAATTGTGCCTTTGATCAGTCTAAGTCATAAGTGCAGTCATTTGATCTGTAAGAGGGGAAATGTCTCCCGAGTTACTCTGATAACTTGAGAGAGCAAAGTGCTAGACCAAATACAGTAACTGTAAGACTAAAAATTATAAAAGTATAAGAAAGTGGATAGGATAGAATCTGGGGGGATTTTAAGCTACTTAGAAATATTTCTCCAGAGAAAAGGACAGTGAGGAAAGATATCCTCATCGACAGCACAGTTTGTCTTATTTGTCAAATGCTATGATTTCCTAATATAAAAAACTCAGTTGGTATCAGTTGTGTAAAATTCAGTATGCAACTAGCCAGATGGGCCTTAAGACTTTACAACTTTCTTTTCTCCACACCAAAACCTAGATATCTCCAAAACCTTCTCTACTGACCATTCCTTCACTGTCAAAATCAATTCCAAGATAACTCCAATATGGTGAGCTCCAGATCTCTGGGTCTACTTTGCAACACTTGAGAAAGAGAATTCTCAACTTTCTTGTTATTGGAAGATACTACTGGAGCAATCTAATTTTTTTAACCATCTAATTCTAGAATTTTCCATAGCAATTCAAATTAAATCAGAAGCTCCAGGAAAAAGGCATACAAACATCTATTGAGCTTCAGTAACAGAAAAAGATAGGACAAAGTTAAACCAACCTCTCATGAGGGTCTCAGAATCAGTCTTGTTTTAGAAACTCTGGCTTCATGGTAGCATCTCTAGTAAGTTTCAAGGCCATGGGGAATTTGTCATCTGTTTCACTGTAGTACTTAATCAATACAATACTCAAAACATCAGAATTTTTTGGTATTACTAATTCATACCCCAGAGTCAGTGTTTAATTCAGTATAATTTCATTATGTGCTCAAAGACTTGTCAGCAGTATGTAATACAATTGCTCACTATTCAGCATACACTGTTTGGATTTACTAAAAGAAAACGTCCCCTGACACCAGGGTCATAATAACCTCATACAGAGTTTTGGAAAAATTAGGAAAATGTCTTCTTTCCAGCTCTAAGAGAGATAGCTGAACAGTGGAACAAAGGGTTCCACAAATGGAACACATACAGGACATTGGAACTGTCCCCAGTAACTTGTGGTATCTATGATTATTATGCAAGAAGAATGCTAAAATGGTACAGAGAAATACAGAGTACTAGTATTAGCCCACTCGCCACTTAAAAACAGTTTCTTGACTAACTTTCCAGACACTGTTTTGTATATATGCAAATGTGGTCTTGTTTTCATAAATATATGCTTTGTGTGTTTTCCTGCATTTTGAATTCCAGTTATATCTTGGATATTTTCTAAGTGATCCATATGTTTATATAAACATCACTCTTTTAAGTCATGCAGAATGTTTTGTTACAGATATTTAATTAACTGAACACTCACTGATAAACATAGAAATGTTTCCATTTGTGCTTATAGTTAACAAGGGTTTAATGAGTATCATTGTTTCTGACTTTCTATGCAAACTATGATCATTTCTTTTGAAAAAATCCCTAAATTTAGATACACTAGATGAAAAGTAGTCACATTTTTCATACTGGAAAGGGAACATTTTTGTATTTGATATGCTTCTCTTCAATATGCAGGGGCCATTATTGTGATATGCTTTATCTTTTTGTCACTCAGTATCTCTTCCAAAATCAATAGTTCAGTAATCATAATATCTATGGAGGGAGGGATCATGTCTATCTCCATAGTACAGAAAAAATGTCTGGCAGTAAATGATTATAAAACAGACTAACAACTTTTTAAGTGAAAAACCAACTGGAATAGGAATTGCAAAGTGTGCAATAACAAGCTTCACAGCATCTTGAAATTTAGAGAAACAAAAACATAAAGCCAATACAATACCTTCCTTTTTGTAGTGGGCCTAGTACAATGCAGGCACAACCATGTTAGTTTTCAGGTGTTGTGAAGCTGCATAAATGTCACATTATTATTTGAGAAATGAGCATCTTGAGTGTGAACTCTTGATAAATTTAGAGCAAAAGTTATGATGTCACAGGCTGACCAAACAGAATACCAGAGATTGGTAGCTTATGAAAAATGGGGATGTATTTCTCACATTTTGGAGGATGGAAGTCTGCAATCAAGGTCTTAGCAGTGTCTAGCAAAGATCCATTTTCTGGTTCACAGGCAGCCAGCTTCTTACTATGTTGACACATGGAAGAAAAGGCTTTCCAGGTCGCTTTTATAATAATATTAATCTCATTCATGAGAGCTCTACCAAATTCCTGACTTCAGATAATGTCATGTTGGGGGCATATTTCAACATATGAATTTGGGGAGATATGAAAAACCAGTGTAGAATACTCCCCCAAATTCATGTTCTTCTTACATATAAAATGCAGTCATTCCATTCCAGTACTACCAAAAATCTTAACTAATTCCAGTATCAAACTCAAAGCCCAAAGTCTTGCCTTAAATATCATCTAAATTAAATTCAAGTGAGATTAGAGGTAAAATTCATCCTGAGGCAAATTCAACTACATTTGTGGATTAGTGAAATAAAACACAATATGTGCTTCCAAAACAAAATGGTAAGGCAACAAAAGAGAGACATTGCCATCCCAAAAGGGAGAAATAATAAGGGATGACAGATTTCAAATAAATAAAAAGTCTGAAGAGTGAAGAATATTAAAATTTAAGGTTTGAGAATAATACTCTCTGGTGGGATGCTCTGCCTTGTGGAACTACTAGGATGGAAGTCTCAACTTCCCAACCTGGGGGAGGAGGCAGCAGGTCAAGCCCCATGGCTTTGTGGGGTAGCTTTCTTGCCTGTTGAAAGCAAGATAAAGTTCTCCCTGGTAGAAAGTGAAGAGTCAGCTCTGGCGAGCTCTGAATTGCCTTTGAGGCCAATCCTTCCCGTTTTGAAGAACAGCACATGTTCACAGGCAAATAGCTCTATAATCGTGTCCTATAAAATCCAAGAAGTCTGGCAGATGGGACTCCTCATCTCCTTCCTCTTCAGTGCAAATTGTCAGTTTTCTTGTTAAGATGAATAGTGAAATTCCCACCCACTCTAGTTTTCTTGTCAAATGATTTGTTGGACACAGTTTTAGTGTTTTCTCCCAAACAGGCCTTCTTATACTTTTTTTAATATGATTGGGACGAGAATTTTCCAAATCTTCTAGTTCTGTTTCCCTTTTTGCTTATCAATTCTGTCCTAAACTAATCTCTTGCTCATGGAATTTTTTCCATAAGCGGCCAGGAGGAAGTAGGCTGCTTCTTCAACTCTTATATGTCAACACTTAGGGACTTCCTCAGCCATATATCTAATTTCACACATGCAAGTTCTGTCTTCCACAACATGCTCAAGCATGGAAACAATTCAGCCAAGTTATTTGGTGTTTTCTACAACACTCTTTTTTTCAGGCCTTGCCCAGAATTGCTCTTATCCATCCACGCACAATAATGTGGGTTTTTTCTAGCACATACCTCAAAACTCTTTCAGCTAGCAAGTCCCAAAACCACTTCTGTATCTTTAGCTGTTTATTAAAGCAATACCTCCACTTCTCAGTACCAGTTCAGCAGTTCTTGGTTCTGTCTGGTCAAGTTGGTGTGGCAGAACAGCAGTTTGTAAAAAAGCACATTCATTTCTCAGTTCTGTAAGCTGTGATGAAAGCTCCAGTAGATTTGATGTTTGGTGAGCAGTTCCTTCCTCATTTGTGAATAGCATCTTCTTTGCTGTGGCCTCACATGGCAGTAGGGATGAGTAGATCTGCAGGGATCTCTTTTACATGGGCACTAACCTCACTCATGAGGGCTCTGCCATCATGATCTAATCACTTTGCACTTCACCTTCAGGTACATTTGGGTGTAGGATTTGAGGATATGCATATTGAGAAGACATAAACATTCAGTCTATACATATGGTGACTACTATTAGCATACTTGATGCTGTAAAATCCTACTGACCCTATGAATTGATAAATAATATAATTTAATTACATATGAATAATTAGACTTAGAAGTTAATCTCATTCCATAATGTAGTTTTTATTTTAAAACACTGAAAATATCACAAATAATACTTCTAAAATGTAAATTATATCCATTTTTGAAATAATGGATAAGTTATATCCATTACACTGGCAAAACAAGATTTTTGTAACAAAATCAAGGCAATAAAATTTACATCATAGAAAATGAAAAGCCTAAAATTAAACATTGCTAAAACTTGTTTCGTGTTCTTTTGGGAGGAGTTCTTATTACAGGTAAGAATAAATCAAAAACATTCACTTCATCTTTCAAACTTCCTAAACTATTATTTCTCAATCCATTTTTCAGAACACCAGAAATAATATTCTCTCATGGAAGCTGTTAACATCTGAGGCAATCATTTATCTTTCCCATATATTGGATTTTCATTTGCAAAATTAAGAGTTAGCAAGGTCCATTCTAGTTTCAAGACATCATTTTTCTGAGAATAAAACCAATTTCTGGTAGCATAAATTAATAAACTATGTTAGATAGAATAAATGTCACATTAGTTTTATAGACTTTTAAGATAATACACAAAGAATTTCTCCTGAGAAGGAATAACTGTTCTCTATGTATTGATTTTAGTATAGAACGGCCTAGAGAAAAAGATAGCAGTATTATGGGAAGTCATCGACTTCTAAAAAAATCTGTATATGGTGGCTTTTCTTATCTGTTCTAGGAGGCTGTGTGTAATCAAGAAGGTCATATCTCAGTCTAATCCAACTTTAAAATACAACCAAATTCTAGATTGCCCTGGAAAATACAGTCTCCTTAATATTAGAATTACTATTTGGAAATGAATTCCTTATTTTTGAGTCTGCCACATTCATGTACCCATTTTGATAGCTTTTCCTTACATTAATAATTTGGGGATTCAGCTTTGTCTGAACCTGATATAATTTAATCTCAGAAGCTTTTTAAACTTTTTGGGTTTAAACTTCATTTGTTCCGTCTATATATGCCTCCTTGTCAACT